ATAAGTGCTTCCCTGGCAAGCACAAGGGTCTGAGTTCAATCCCCGGTTCCAAAACAAAGAAACAAACAAACAAAAAAAAAGACTTCCCCAAAAAAAAAAAAGAAAGAAATATGGAAAGCAGAAGTGATCAATGTGAGTTCAGAGTATCTGACCTTGAAAACAGGACTGTTGTTGCTGTTGGATTCATAAGAGATGCTTTAAAAACAACCAAAAACATGAAAGAATAGACTCAACAGCTGCCAGATGACACAAAGAAGATTAATCTAAAAATTAGAATTAGTGAAAAGTCAGAAGATAACACAATAGCATAAAATACCTGTTCAATGAAATAATAGCAGAACAGCTTCCAAGTGTGGGGGAAAGAATTTAATGTACACATGTAAAGCATATAGAACTCTAAATAGCTATGATCAGAAAATAACACCTCCACAACACATCACAGTCAATATTCCATCTGTCACAACTTCATTAAAGTCTTCAAAAGTGATTTTCCCCTGGCTTCTGTCATAAGCTTTAAGAATCTTCAGCACATCTACTGTTTCTTTTCTTTTCTTTTCTTTTCTTTTCTTTTCTTTTCTTTTCTTTTCTTTTCTTTTCTTTCTTTTCTTTTCTTTTCTTTTCTTTTCTTTTTACATGAAACCCCAAGGTTCTCACTGCCACCTTCAATTCCTGATAATCTATTGGCTCACCTTTCTCTGCATCAAATATTTCAAAAACATCTTTAATTTCTTGTTTTGGTTCCTCAGTGAGTTCTCTTCTTATTTTCCTTTTTTGCTACTATGAGTTCGCTTCTTGGAGCTAAACTTATTTTCTCTCCATGCTGAGGTGTTCTGTTCAAGAACAAATTTATGCCCTCACCCAAGGCAGCGTGACTCCCACCAGCTATTCAACACTAAGTTCTTTAAAATATAGACAAAAGGTTTTTTTTTTTTCACCTGTCCCTTCTTTTTTTATTCCATCCTAGACCTTCCGTGGCCTCATGATTGTTGCTGGGACCACAGTACTGAGATTTCCTTCTTCTTATCAACTGGAACTTGACTTTGTCATATTTTGGTTAACATTCACCTCTGTCTTAATGTCTCCATTGTTATTTCCTGAATTATAAGATGGGGATAGTGACAACAGCCATATGGGGATGTTGTTGATAAATGAAGACCATGTATTTAAAGCTACTACCATAGTGCCTGTCTTGCTTGTTCTGTAGTGTATAGGACTGTGGGTGATGGTCCCATGTTTTAAGGGGAGGAAAATAGTGAGAAATGAAAGAGAAAGTTTATCAAGAGTCCTGGGAATGGGCTGAGAGGTAGAGCAAAAGGTCACTTGAGAAAGGATGTGGCAGATAAATGACAAGTCTGGGAAGTCACACAAAAGAGGTTATTGCAGGTGGCTCAAAGGACATATCGGTTGAGGATTCACAGTAACATCAAGCCAAAAATCACTGTTACAAGCCAGATCCCTCTGCCCCAGTGGGCTCAGTCTACCAGAACTGTCACTTGCCTTCCTGAGGCTTAAGGAAACCCTCGAAGGAAATGTTGGTCAATAGAAGAAATTTTTGTTCCAGGAAAAGTTTTTCTTTCA